AACAGAGTAACATGAAAGTTAAAACTTAAAAATCCATTTTTGCTGTGTGAAAAAACCCTTATAAAACCTTCAAATTCGGCGGCTGGCTGTGTAAAAAACCCTTATAAAAACCGTTAAAAACTGTTATAATAATCTATATACAATGTGTAAAAAACCCTTATAAAAACTTCAAATTTGGTGTCTGACTGTGTAAAAAACCCTTATAAAAACCGTTAAAAACTGTTATAATAATCTATATACAATGTGTAAAAAATCCTTATAAAAACTTCAAATTTGGTGTCTGACTATGTAAAAAACCCTTATAAAAACCGTTAAAAACTGTTATAATAATCTATATACAATGGGTTAAAAATTCTTTCAATCGTCAATAGGAAACATACCTCATGCAATATCTGCATCAAAGCGTTGAAATCCTTGTTACGCGCTCAATTGTCCACTTTTTTCCGATTATTAGTTTTTCTTCGGTGCTCCCGGGTCCTGGCTTTGCTGCTCCTGTGTGCCCGATGCATGGCTATGTTGCTCCTAGCTGCTGTCTTTGGTGCCTGACTGGCTTTGCTGCTGCGGTGCTCCCGGTGCCTGGCTTTGCTGCTCATGTGCTCCTGGTGTCTAGCTCTCTTGCTCCTGGCTGCTGTCTTTAGTGTCTGGCTAGTTTTCATTTTCATCGTCGAAGCTAGACGTAATATCTGGCTCTCCTTCAACCCTCTCATCTTCGCTTATATCCATTGATTCATCATCGAATGATTCATCATTTTCTTCCTGATCCGAGCCTACTTCCTCCACAATCTAGTTTTAAGAAATATAAACAATTTTGTAAGGAACATAAGATTTTTATAAGGCAAATAAGAATTTATATTTACGTCAGTCGATTCATACCGGATCAGCATGAGAAGCGTGGGTTTCCTCTTCTTCAAAGTGATCTTTAACTCTCACATTCTCCTTGGGATCAGTTGTGCGGGTATCCTCATTAGAATGAGGTGGAGTCTTGTCCTCTGCAGCCTACAGGGTTTAAACAGAGATTATAAAAGTTTTAAACAGAGTTTAAACAGGGGTTTATAAAACATTTTCAACAGTAATTCTTATAGTTTTATTAATGCTCTCTTGCTGTTCTTCATCTCCTCCAAACCCTGAAAAGTTGGAGGGTCCTACCTCGTCATAAGCTGTGTTTCTTGGCGAATGGAAGAAATCATTCCCCTACAGAAAAAAAAATTAAAGAATCTATGTTAAAAGTTTAAAAGTGTATATAAAGTGTTAAAAATCCTTACAATCTCCAAATACTTTTACAAAATATGTGCAAAAAACAAATCTTTTCTATAAGTATGTATGTATACCTTGTTGGAACCATATTCATTCTCCGTATCCTTTTCTTCGAATACAGTTTCTGCATTTGAACTATCAGAATTCTGATCATCAGGCTTGTTAAGTTCATCATCCTACGAAAAGAAATTAAGAGAAGCCATTTTTAAGAAAATTATATAGACTGTAAAAAATCTTTATAAATAAGAATCTTCTTTTACCATTTTGTCATCAGAAAGATCATCAAGGATGACTGGTTCATTGGCCTGCGAAAAAGAATTATATAATATGATTAACTATATATGACAGTATCAGATGCAATACAATCATTAGGTTTCTGGAATTTACCTGTTTTTGTGTTCTCTTGGTCGTTTCCTCTTTCATTACTTTTTCTATTACCTCGACTCGCTTCATAAGATTATCACATTTCTCAAGAATCATGTCCAGTTTCTCGTCATGAGACATTCTCATGCGTTGTCGAGTTTGAAATACAGTTTCTTGGACTGATCACTTCTTATTAAAGACTGAAGGAACGGGGATCCTTGCAGAGGTATTTCCAACTTCTTTGTGTGTCCCCTCTTTACCAATACTGCCAACATTAATCCACTGTCGATTCCAGTCAGCCTTGTTCAACCTGTAACCACCTTTAACAAGGTCGACAAGATCCATTAAATCTTTATCTTCAGGTGTTGGCGGCTTGACCAAATCCTTGTGTTCTTCAGGGTCACCAATGAAAGTTAAAACTTTAACCTGACAAGATTTTATGAATGTAAAAAAACTTTATAAACCGTTAAAAACTCTTATAATAGTCTATAAAATGGTGTAAAAACATTTTATAAACCGTTAAAAACTCTTATAATAATCTATATAACGATGTAAAAATCTTTATAAACCGTTAAAAACTCTTATAATCATTTTTTTTGGTAAAGAGTTGTATACCTTGGGCTTCTCTGCGAAATGTTGTACTTCCGGGGCTGTTGGTGTTTTTGTTTCTTTCCACTGTAGAATCAATGGCTGACGATGAAGATCTTCTCTTCTACCAAACGTGTTCCCCAAATCTTCAATTGATCCAAGGATTGGCATATTCGCTCTTAAGCGCGATAAAATGACACTAATCAATAATGCACTAACCGAGGAATGTTTCGAGAGGCTTCAAGCCACTTGCTTTGGGCCTATCATAGAATACCAGCTGCGACAAAACGTCTGTTTCTCAAGACATGTGTGCTCCCACATCTTGAAAAGGAGAATTTGCACAACAAGAAAA